TCATCAGAACCTAAAAGGTGCTTTAGTCACCTCTTATTTTTGGATTTGAGTAATCCTCAGGTCAGAAGATAAAAAAGAAAGCAGAAGCTGTGGCCAGTCAGAGGAGACCAACAAAGCTACTCTGTTTCATAAGCCAAATACAATGGTTTTGGGGACAGGATTACTCAAGGGATTGGTGATACAGTTTATCACTGGTTCAAATTCATCCCAGATCAATAGTGACCAAAAATCTGGAGGTTGTTTGGTAGCCTCCCTTAAAGCGCCATCTCCAAAGTCCATTGAAATAAATGGAAAGACTCTCATTAACTTGAATGGATTTTGGATCAGTCCCAAAATGTCTCACTGCAGTCCCTAATAAACACGTCTCCACATTGCAATTGGCACTAATTGGCCCCTGGGTTGGCAGTCTCAGCACAGAGATCGGGACTGAATGGTCCTGGACAATGCACTACGCTCCCGGGTCTTAGAGAGGCTCCCTGCAGATTGTGGTGATAGAAGAATATTGGTGGGACAACATGGGTAAGTGGCACTGTTGTCTCCTCTGCCACACCTCTCTGGCTAGAGGATTTCAGTCAGCAGCACTAATGTCACTTTTCAAAAAGCTGATTAAAAGGGCACTTGTTCCCCACATACTCCAACTTCCACATGGGGGTGCAGATTAATGTTCCAATGCAAGGTAAGGCTCATTCAATGCACGTTGAATGAAACGAGTCTTTGGCCGTGCTACTTCTCATCCCACTGGCAAGAGCATGCTTGGCTCTCACGCATAACTTACCTACATGGATTTTGTCACACTTTAAAATTAGAAAGGGCTTAGTTATTAAAGTGTCAGAAGGGGCTGGTCTTTAAGGTACCCACACATCCATTATATGCACGGCATAGCTTCTCTCATCAAGATCCTAGAGCCCTGTTATGCTTGTTTTTGTTCAATAGTCCTGCTGGAGTCCCAAAAGTTAAAATGCTGGCGTCTTGTAGAAAACTGCAGCCAGTATTGGGGAAAGGTAAGGCTGTTGTAGCAACGGCCCTAATAATTTTAATGGGGAAATTTCCAATAACTCTTGATGTTGATATGACCCAGGATAAAATCTATAGCCAGATGCATTAATCAGAATTTAATTATCTTTTCTCTTAGAGTTTTCTAACTTAAAAAATACAGTTCATCAAACTGACTGATATGCTGCTGTTACTGAATCACAAATCCATGCGAGTAATCAAAAAAGAAATTGAAGAATAGAAAAGGGTGGTAGGGTATTAAGTGGTAGTCTATTAGGAAAAATGTATACAATTTTAAGATGTAAAAGTGTTCTTTTGGGGATTAGCTTCTAATCACCATGTTCAATTGTGCTGCATTTTGGTACTTACAAACATGAAATTACATGCTCCATAAATAATGAAAGCCCAACAATTGCTAACCTGAGCTTATCCCAATTCACAAAAATATATGAGCAGTTTAACAGTTTTGCTTTCATTGCTGTTTTCCCTAAACAGCAGACTATGGCTAATATGGCTTTTATTTAAAAAAAAAAAAAATTTCCCTACCCCTCACCTGCTCAAAAAAACCCCTGGCTCTGACAAGGTGGCAGGGAACTCTGAAGTGCTAGACTACGAAGAAAGAAAAGGAGTACTTGTGGCACCTTAGAGACTAACCAATTTATTTGAGCATGAGCTTTCGTGAGCTACAGCTCACTTCATCAGATGTTGAACATCTGATGAAGTGAGCTGTAGCTCACGAAAGCTCATGCTCAAATAAATTGGTTAGTCTCTAAGGTGCCACAAGTACTCCTTTTCTTTTTGCGAATACAGACTAACACAGCTATTCCTCTGAAACCTGTCAGACTACGAAGAGTTACACATATTGAAAGATCTGCACCTGAATCATCATTAACTAAGTGCACAGTGAGGCACTACAAAGACTTTCAGATTTGTGATACCCTTGGGATTCTTCACGAACCCTGGAGTTATTACAAAGAATGTTAACTCTATCCTCGGTTTGTCAGTAATCATGAGACCCCTGCCATATATCTATGCTTCCTCTGTCACCCTTTATCCCAAACACCTGTTGCCTTGCAAAATGTCATCTGCTGATAATTTTGTAGACTTCATAATGAAGTGAAAAGAAAAGGAGGACTTGAGGCACCTTAGAGACTAACCAATTTATTTGAGCATAAGCTTTCATGAGCTACAGCTCACTTCATCGGAAGTGAGTATACAATTCTAGACTTATTGACAACATGTTGTCCCTTTTATCTGTGGAGTGACGACAGAGTACTGGTTGTTTTGCACCAACTAGAAGGAACATGGTTGGCCAAAAAATATGATCTACTCTACCCAGCTATGTTTTGGGTTACGGGCATACATAGGCAGAAATAGTGTTCTCCTCTGCTGGCACTGCTAGGAAGGCAACACATTACCCTTTCATCCAGACATGGTGCAAACCCAACTCCCAATAATACAGATTACATAAAACAGATCAAATCTAGGCTTTCAGCTCTGAACACCTCCGAACTTTGTGGAAGTTCAGATCTGGATCCAACCTCCCTCAAGCCTCCCTCTGTTATCAACAAACTAGCAGAGCTCACCCACTACTTGACAGTGAGAACTAGCATATGAAAACATTCCTGTAAAGCAACACGTTTATAAAAAAACATGGCTAGGATGTGATAGGTGATCACAATCCCAGATGGAAGCAGCTGTTTCAACTATGATATATACTGCAGCATTGGAAACTAGAACCATTAAAAAAAAAATGTGTGTGAGAGAGAGAGAGAGAGAGAGAAGTGAAATACCATTTGGTGAAATAAAGCATCAGAATGACGTCTGAGTTGTTCTAAAGTTGGTAAATTACAATAATGGCCCATATCAGCTCTGTGTAGTTCTGACGTGCACAATAACACCCTCAACCTTCACTAATGGCATAATAATTAACTGGCTGTCACTAGGCAACAATCCAGGTTCCTTTTATTTTTAAACACTTCATGATTGATTTTTATTTTTCTTTCAGTGCTAAATAATAACATGTGTCAATATTTTCTAATTGATGGTCTAGGAGCAGACACTGGGCAATCAAATCTTAGATGATTATACTTCATCCCTGACGGTAAGATAATTTAAGGGAGGGAGGAACCACAGAATACATTGTTTCCAGTGTGAATCTGGAGCATCCAAGTGTCTTCTTAGATGCGTCAAAAAACAGTTCTTTTACCTTGATCTCATCTTCTCTGAATAGTGATTATGGAGTTATCCTTGTGAGTGGGTTGATGGAAAATAGATATTTGGTTTTACATCGTGTTTTTCATTCTCCACGTACTTCACAGTTCTTTAGAAAGTGACACATTGTGACTGGTTGCCCCTCACATAAATCAGAACCACAGTTTGAAAGAAATAAAAGCTTCCACTTCAGGAAGAGCCTGGGCTTAAATTTAAATGGTGACATTATGGGAGTATACGTGTGCTTAAAGGTAGGCAGGTCCATAAGTACCTTGCTGAATTTGGTGCCTGTGGACACCTTTGTGTGCCACAGAAGGTGTAAGGGTAGAATACTGGGGATGCCATGACCATCCACTCAATCCCTGCTCTCCTTGAGGTTAATAGCAAAACTCTATTCAAAGGGAGCAGGATTAAACCCTATGCAGGCTACTATGGCAGCCTTTATGCACACGCTCAGCAATAAATGAGACAGAGCTTTGGAGGTCAGAAGCTGTTTTACTGAGATACTCGTGTAGAATATCTAGGTACATACTCATGTAGACACAGAAGATAGACTTTACTTGGTTATATTTTTAATAAGTTAATGAAGCAGCTTGACTCTGAGCCTTGAGAGAGTGAAATAACCTTTCACCCAGTATCCCAAATGTGGTGACAGTTCCACACGTGCTTCTTATTTTATTTATGAAGCCTGGTCCATCTTGAGGAAACGTGAGCCGGAGACGTGTGAATGGGTAAGGAATTACATGTGTATTTTGTAACTCAAAGGACAACGGGTCACAGGTTATGACCCAGAAGACAACAGGCCCCAACAGACAAGGAGCCACTGAAGAGTCTTAGCTGTTCACCTAAACACAAGGGGTTGAGATCATCTGGGTAGAATAATCCCCTCCTGTTAGTCTCTAATGTTACTTATCTGGGAAGGAGACAAACTTGTGACTAAGAAAACACACCCTACAAGGAGAACGCCTACTTGTGTGATGGTTCCTGAACCACAAGACATTGCCTGGTTTCCCAAATGGCAGTTCCTGACTGAATCTGAAGCATCCAAGACCAGCTTTTTCGAAGTAACTTTTATTCTTTTTGTCTCTTTAACAGGACATGTGAACACTTATGTGGGGATGCGTACCAGGAAAGACCTATCCCAGTCTTTTTTGGGGGAGGGGGTGTCCATTAATAGTCATAGCAAGTGTGTGTATATATGCATAGTAGAAGCTACCATTAGGAATGGATTAACCTATGTTTGAAGCAAATCTTATCATAGATCTCTAAGAATCACATGGGCTACATAAAAAATTGCACCTTAGCCTATTCTTTCCACAAGGGAAAGTTAAAGCTGCTAAGTAAACCCCACAGAGATTGCAAGATTTAATAAGTAATTTAATCATTTGTGTTATATTAACTTTGTGATTTGATTACTATTGTATTCATGCAATAACTTGACCAATTGGTCTTCAGTTATGTGTTTTGTAGTTATCCAATTTTCAATTGTATTACTGTTAACAGTTTGATTTGACTAACTCAATTTGTACTGTAATATCAACATTAATTATATTCTTAATACTTTAGGGAAATAAATTATCTAACTTTGTAGTTATTAGTACTCTTGAATGAAAATTGTAATTGGTTTTCTCTGATCAGCTAGCAACAAGGTAAGAACATTGGACTCAAGTCTTAAGAAAAACCTCATCATTGTAGTGGAGCTTTTCCCTACCCTTTTCCACAGAATGTATGTACTTCTGCTGCCATAGTTGTAAGCAACATTCAGACCTCGCAAGTAATGGGCAGTTCCTTACCATGGCCAAAGGAAGGACTCCTACAAGATCCTTCTGGTTTACATAGATCTTGGAGACTCCTAGATCAGATGTCGTATCCCCAGGATATTCAACCTGCCACGTGATCAGCTGGGTCCCAGGTAGATCACTTAGGTCTTCAAATTCAAAATCAATCTGCATGATCTCTGAGGAAGGACTGCCAGCCCTGGAAAAAAGAGAGATGCCTTAATTCAGGTGAGTGACAAACCAGCAATATAATTGCATCTATACTAATAAATCATTGGATTATTGCTCTTCCTAAGAGAGGATTTATGGGACGTAGGAATTAGAAATCAATTAACTATTTCCATGTATTATCCCAGGATTTTAGTGCACTTTACATACATTCTCTAGGCCTTGCACCACCCCTGCAAAATTGGTAGCTCAGTACTATCTGTGCTTTATAGATAGGGAAATGGAGGCAGAGAGAGGTTAAGCGTTGAGGTTAAAGTCATAGGGTGAGTTAGTGGCAGATCCAGGAATGCCTGACTCCAAAGCTCTGTGTTCCAACCATCAGATTATATTTCCCCCTTGTTAAAAGCAACATGCAAAAGGAATAACCTGGAGGCAGTTGGCCACTGAGATGTGAGACTGTTGTAGATCCTTCCTTCGAAGCAGTTTCTGTCCTTTAAAAAGGGGAGGATGGAGGAAACTGGAGGCTATTTCTGGCTCTGCCCCTGCCTTACTGTGACACCCTGGGCAAACCCCTCTGTGATTCAGTTTCCTCCATCTGTAAAATGGGGACAATAGTGCTTACAGCTTTACTTCCTCAGGGTGTTACAAGGCTGGGTTGATGTTGGCAAAGCATTCTGGGATCTTTGGGTAAAAGGTAGCAGAGAACTACAATGTTTTATCTGTGATATCCCTGGATCATCTGCATTAGAGTGTCTGATATATCACCATTACAGTGCTGTTTATTTTTATGGTGTATCTTTTGTACACCGTGTTACAAAATCCATTAGAGAGCAAATGAATCACAACCAAAAGGGAAAATGGAGGCTGTACAGGAGAGATTTAAAGTGGGGAACTGATCAGGGGCTCAGAGGGTTAGAGCCTGTAAACCTTGTGATAAAATCAGCTACTGCATAGGAAACAGCTTGGTAAAGATTTTACTGCACGTCTTGCTGAGATGAGATCTATGGACCACTTGCTTTCCTAAAGACAGGTTTCAAAGTAGCAGCCGTGTTAGTCTGTATCCGCAAAAAGAAAAGGAGTACTTGTGGCACCTTAGAGACTAACAAATGTATTTGAGCGTAAGCTTTCATGAGCTACAGCTCACTTCATCGGATGCATGCAGTGGAAAATACAGTGGGGAGATTTTATATACACAGAGAACATGAAACAGTGGGTGTTACCATACACACTGTAAGGAGAGTGATCACTTAAGGTGAGCTATTACCAACAGGAGAGCTGGGAGTGGGGCGGGGGGGGAACCTTTTGTAGTGATAATCAAGGTGGGCCATTACCAGCAGTTGACATGTTCTTGTCAACTGCTGGAAATGGCCCACCTTGATCATCACTACAAAAGGTTTTTTGTTTTTTTCCGCCCACCCCCGCTGGTAATAGCTCACCTTACCTGATCACTCTTGTTAGAGTGTGTATGGTAACATCCATTGTTTCATGTTCCCTGTGTATATAAAATCTCCCCACTGTATTTTCCACTGCATGCATCCGATGAAGTGAGCTGTAGCTCATGAAAGCTTATGCTCAAATAAATTTGTTAGTCGCGAAGGTGCCACAAGTCCTCCTTTTCTTTTTGCTTTTATAAAGGGGCCCCAAAAACCTCAGGATGTACAGTGAAGTTCCCTAGCACTGCAACATTTTGAGGGATATTGAAGCTGACAGTGATTTTACCCCTCAGCCACTGAAGGCCATTTAGTGATCTGTAACGCAGGTGTGTAGCGGTGAATGGTGAAGGTTGAATCCATTTCAATGCAGGAATGAGACCCGACAGCTTGAAAGGAAGAAAAGAATGTCACAATTACAGACGGATCACAAGCTGCTCAAGCAACCCTGTCTCAGAGGGCACAACTGGAAGAGAGAGAAAACAGCAAGCAGCTGATGGGAAAACTTTTAATGAAGTAAGCTGTAGCTCACGAAAGCTTATGCTCAAATAAATTTGTTAGTCTCTAAGGTGCCACACGTCCTCCTTTTCTTTTTGCAGATACAGACTAACACGGCTGCTCCTCTGAAACCTTTTAAACCTCGCAATCTTCCCTGGTTGCTGTAGGAAGAGAGTTAAAACTAGTCATCTCTTTGATCAGAACCAGTTGTGACAAGAGCCCCAATTCAGGACTGCTCCCAAAATGCCCAGGGCTTTTATCATTTCAGCGCTGTTCAATTCCTTGTCTAAAGCCACTGCTTGGAGATTTTAATCGGCAGACCGCTGAAAGTCTGGACTCTAATGGATGTATTGAGTCATCGCTGCCACACAGAGACTTTTAAAAAAGGAGCATTTGCATCCACTCCACACTTGCAGAATTAATGTCGCTGAATAATTTTACATTTTATTCAATTGCTCATCACTTTATGTCAAACCCACGAGAGTGCAGTTTGCAAACGAATACTGAATGCAACCATATCCCACCCTGACCTTAGTGGGACCAGAAAACTGCTTTATGCAGCGGCTGCAATTGAAACTCAGTTAGCCTTACTGTATAAACAGGAGCAGGCCGTGCACTACCCATAAATGCATGATACTTATCTTGCTTTGTACAACACATGCCAACTCTACTTCTGTTAAAGAAACAAATGTAATCATTGTACAGAAGCATCCTGGCTCTGAGCTCTCTTTCTTTAATCTTTTCCTGCACCGGTAGCCACTGCTACTCGTCCCTGGCTCTATAGAATTGGTGCTGTCACAGGCAGCGTCTCCTGTCAGTCACGGATATAATGCGCTACTGGGGAGGTTTGTGTTGCAGAGGAGATGGCATGGCAGTTGCAAGGAGAGGATTAACAAAAAGAAAGAATGAAAACTTTTCAAGATATGGAGGGGATTAGAAGGCAAGAGGGAGAAGTGAAAGGCAGAAGAAGAGAGGGGAAGATGAAGGAGAAGAGAAGGGAATTGGAGGATAGGATAACAGAAAAGTGGGAGAGGCTAGAGAGGAAGAACAGAGGAGTTTTCCATTCTCTCCCTCACACACACACACCCCACACCTTTTTGACTCCTTTTAAAAAATATTCTCTTCACCTTCTGTACACTTACTTCCCCCTTCCTGCCTCTATGCCATCGCTCTCCTCCTTAACTCAGACGCTTACCTGGCAGGGTCCTTAACCACCTGCCTAGCTTTAATCCCACTGACATCAATGGATCAAGTGCTAACAGTTAGGCTTGTGATTTTGTACTTTGTTAAATCGGGCCTCAATTTTTACCCAACAGGCAAAACTCTCCCTGCAGTCAATGGGAGTTAAACCTGAACAAAGACTAGGTAAAAAAAGATGAATAAGGATATTAAGATTTTGCACATTTTGTGGACTGGAGGTTTTTCCCTCTTTTAGACTGTAAGATCTTTGAGGTAAGGGCTCATTTATCATACTCATTTATAGCACCTACCCCAGTGGAATCCAACTGGGTTGAGGCATTCAGGTGTTGGCACAATACAAATATTCAATAAAAAACAACAACAAGAGGAAAGGCCCGTTCGCTAGGAAGCATCTTCTTTGCACATTTTCCCTTAAATACTACTGCAGGCCAAAGTAAAATGAAATGATTTTCATACCCTCTGTGATATTCTCAATTGTCAAAGAACAAGAACGACAACACAGCAATGCCTGTGGAAATGGGACACACTGTCAGCCCTACAGCTGGCCAAAAAATGTTTTTTTCTCCCCACTGAATATTCATATTTCCACTGAAAAATTTGAATACTTAAATATTTTGTCTCCAAATCAAAACATTTCTGTTAGGAATGTTGCCACAGTATCTCCTGGGAGTTGTAGTTTGGGATTCTTCATATTCCTGTTTCTCCTGTAGGCTGGGCTCCTTGGTTGGACTTTACATCACCATGGTCTCCCCTTGAGAGTTTTAACCGTTCACAAAAAACTACAATTTAGTCAAAAACCCAATTTTCCATTGAAAAACAGTTTCAATCAGACCTAGTTAGCAATGAAAGGCTCTTTCCCTTACTCCTTTAATTGACAGGTCAAGAAGTTTTTTAGCGATCAGTAAGGATCTCAACATTAATACAAAAAATGTACAGAAAAGTATGAAGGGTTCTATGATCCATGCTCAGACCAAGCCTAAAACTACCCAGTCAGGAACACACATAAGACGCACACAGTCATGTCTGCTTCAAGCAAGATGTGATCTCAGCAGTACAGCACAGAAACAGGGGGAAAAACTTTTCAGTAATAATACAAAAGCTTCAAATGCTTGATATCTCTGGGGCTGGTGACTTCCTTGGGGCTATGTTGCCATCCTCAAGGGTTCAAATATGATGTTAGGCCCCCCCAGAATGAGGAGATTTTGTAAACCACAGGATTGCCAAATTAAAAAATGTGGGGGTCTTTTTATTTGCTTTCTGGTTTCTGAGCCTTTTGAGAGCACTCACTTTACACAGTCAAGCTTTTCTTTGCAACCATAAGGGATAGACACTTACCTAGTTTGTCTGGTTAAATGAAAGCTGTGATTCTCATGCATTCTCTTGATTTTAGCAGCTGGGACTTAAAGATATTGCAAGACTGTGATGAAATCTCAAGAATTAGCAGCTCTGATGTTGACTTCAACCAACCAACCTTCTACATTTATAATTAGATGGGGTAATGTAGTCTGAGCTCAGCTGTGGTGTTGAACCCCCAGAGAGTACGCAGCATACATAAATGCAATGGACCAGGAGACAGAGTTAAAGCTAAGAGCTTTTTTCAATACAGTTGACCCTATAACGTGCGTGGTCTCCTAAACAACCAGCAGTGCAGTCAACCCCCTGGCTCCTTTGATAAGGTTAGAATATTAAAATGAAACCAATCAAAATTATTACCAGCTGTCTCAAGGTAGCCCCAAAGGTCTCAACCCAGACAGGGACCCCAGAGTCAGCCTCTGCTCCAAAAAGGGGACAATCTAAATAGACAGCAGAAGCAAGAGACTATTATTTCCATTACACATGAGTAATTGAGGTCCAGGAAGATTAAGACTTTCCCCAGGTGTCACAGGAAGTCCAGAAACCAGTA